AGAGGAAGGTAGTTGGTCAACAAGATGGTGGAATAAGTCAGCGGCAAATTTCGCAGAATATGGGAATCACGCTTTCGACAGTCAACAGAATCATCGTGCAGTTCAGGAAACACGGCAAGGAAACAACTGAGCAGCGTCCGGGTCGTCCTGGTCCATCGGAGAGGACAAAAAGGGCTGTTAAGAGGAGCATCGAAATTGTTCCAAGATTAACGATTGCAGAAGTGGCCAAAGTTGGTGGGATGAGCCCGAAATCTATTCAACGGATTCTCCACAGATTGGGTTATCGTTGCAGAGCAGCTAGACGGAAGCCCTTATTAAGACCTGCCAACATAGTCAGACGAAAGAAGTGGGCAAGTGATATGATGACCAAGCCTCTGGACTTTTGGAAGACCGTATTGTTCTCAGACGAATCAAGATTCGTTCAATTTTCGGACAGTGGAAGGATATGGGTCTGGAGCATGCTTCACCAAGAGCTTTGGCTCAACAGATTGCAGCCAATTGTGAAGCATGGTGATTTCAGCGTGATGGTTTGGGGAGCTGTTTGGGTTGGTGGGAGACCGAGTTTAGTGGAGTGTGTTGGCAACATAAATTTTGCGAAATATGTCAAAATATTGGAGGAAGGACTCTTGCCACTTTATACCTCTAGTTTCGTGGACAAGAACACAACATTGTTCCAGGAAGATGGAGCACCGTGTCACACTGCTAGAAACACCCAAAAGTGGCAGGAAGAAAATGGTATCCAGAAGTTGCCCTGGCCGAGCCAATCTCCTGACATGAAGGCGGTTTTCGATGGGTTCTGGGCCATACTCGACCGGCAAGTCAAGAAACAACCAAAAAAACCAACTTTGAAGAGCGATCTACTCCAAGTTTTGAATCAAGAGTGGGCAAAAATCCTACAATCTAAAATTGACAAGATGATTCTCACAATGCCCCAAAGGATCAACGAACTCCACGAAGCGAAAGGAAGATCTACTAGATATTAATTAAATTATAAATATATCAATTCTTGTGAATATGACTGAAAAATTTCATTTTTTCTGAAAAGGTGGTGTCTATTTATTTGTGACCACGCTGTGTATATTCAGAAAATCTGGAATCTTACAGCAAACTTGAAAATTATGAAGAACAAAAATTCAGATATTTTAATAAAGAATTTCTACTAAAGATTTACTGAGTCTGTATGAAAGACAAATTTCATGAAATGAATAAAAATACTTATTTTCATTTTAAAGTTTTCCTATTTTATCTGTAAATTTCTCCAAACAAACAGCATACTTGATTCCAGGGTCTTTAAAGACAACATCAAAGAATGGTTGAAATCATGGAATAAATCAAGTAACATAGTCTTTCCAAAACATACATGCCTCTGCTGCCACTTATAGCTATCTCTCAACTCTATCATCTGTTATTCTTTGATATCTCAACATTGTATTAGCTTGCTCCAGTCTTTTATACCCCACTCGACTACCCTTGGCAATATGTAATTTGCAAAACTTTACACTGGCTCTCACATGCCCTCCATGCACGTACTGTATATAAGCATTGTATGCAGACAATGTAATCACTTTTTCTCAGCAGTACTAAGAGTCATGTTTTGTGGTTCACATTTTTAGTTGTAAAATTTTGAAAGTAGTCTGGTGTTTTTTTTTTCCTGTTGCTGACATTTTGTTGGTTTTCTTCTATGTTTAAAAAAAATTGTTTGAGGGTATGTCACAGCAGCTACCCAGACCTTGTCCATTCCTCCTTTGTTGTCTGGTGGTAGTCAGCAGTCGGGTTAGGGTCCACTCTAGGTGGAAGCTGTCCATGATCTGATTCGGGGCAAGATGGAGTCTTTCATGCAGCTCTGGGGGTTTCAAAGCTGGCTTTTCATCTGAATGTATTGGGGAGAATTTAGACTGTTTCATGCTCCTTCTTTCTCTAGGGCTGCCTATACTGAGGGCTCATCTGATCAGCCATCTTGTGCCACTTTTCAGCAGTTAGTTACACGAGTTTGTGAAGTTTTGGGGATTAACCCCATTGCTTTTGAGTCTACCCCTGCCTTGTTCTCAGATAGATCTTGGGGGATTACTTAATTTTTCCTCTTTTCCCTGATATTGCCATGCATGTAGGGAGGCTTGCAATGCAATTATGAGAGGGTATCACTATGCCTTGCCAACCTCGTTTATCAGAACAACATGCCCTGGCTTATCATCGTCAGGATGAAGTATATTTAGGCACTCAATAGTTGGATCCATTGTTGGATCTCTGGGGTTCCAGGTTAGAACCTGTTATCATTCTTAACAGATCTCAATTTTCATGGATTCGTTTGACTCTTACTACTGTATTGCGATACTTCTCTTTCCTTCACCTTTTGTCTGAAGCATATCAGTGCTCTCCTGATGAATTTGATAATGAACTGGGACTCTTACTGGTTACCATTATGGCTCATTTGTTCTCTTCAGGCCTTGTCTTTGTGTCGTGGTTGGTCTGTTGCTGGGACTTATTGAGTAGAGATGCCTTGTTGGAGGGTATTCATTTGCCATCCACTGCTCTTCATGATTTATGGGAAGCGCCCTTTCTTTGGCCTTACTTGTTTGCCAGAAAATGAAAACTTTAGAAGCCCGAATTGATGTGGCATTTTTGCATTCTTTATCATTGTTGGCTACTCACCTCTCTTCTACTCCAATGGGTAATTCTGAAGGATTGTCCATTCGTGTCTCATGGCCCCCACTTTTAACACCTTGTCCTATTGATTCACAGGATCGGTTCTGTCCATATTCTCGGCGATCTTTGGGCAGGTTGGGATGGCTCCAGCAGCATAAGTGACTACCCATCTTCACCAGATTCTGTGGGAGGATGGTTACATCTCTTTCACCACATTTGGCTTTCATTCACCATTGATTTTTGGGTTCTCAGAGTACTGGATTTGGGTTCGAGATTAAGTTTACTTCTTCCCCTTCATTGTCCTCTCATCCAGTTGTCTTTTCTCTTTCTTCAGACATGCAGACCTTCGTTCCCAGGCCATTCAGAAGTTGTTCAACAAATGAGCCATCGAGAAGGTCGATCCCATTCATCCAGGATTCTATTCTCATCTATTTCTGGTGCCCAAGATAACTGGAGATTGGTGTTCTATCATCGATCTGTCTCGACTCACATTCTACAGCCTCCTCATTTCACCATTGAATCTTTTCTTCAATTTCGATGGCACTTCACACCAGGTCTTTGGGTGACCAAGTATGATGTTACATATGCCTACCTTCACATCCCCATAGCAGTCTTCTCGTTAATTTCTATGTTTTGTGCAAGAGAACCACATGTTGCAGTTTCAAACTCTCTTGTTTCCACTTGCTTCAGCACCATATGTTTTATCCCAAGTAGCATGGGAATTTGCATAGCATCTCCATTTTCTGGGTCTTGCACACAGCACTGTATGGATGATTAGCTTCTTTTGGCACCAACCCGTCATGTTGCCGAACTACATACCCAGATTCTACTTTCCAAAACTAGAAGGGTGGGTTTCATTATCAGTTTGGAAAAATCTATTCTCTCACCAACTCAATACGTGGTCCGTCTTGGGGTGTTTTTCAACACACATTTGATTGGGTCTTAACCATCTCCCCTCAGACTTCACAATATGGAAAGGATTTTCAGACATTTGCTTATGTCACCTTCTCCCACTGTGCAGATGTTTGTCTCTTTTGAGGATTTTGGCTTTCCTAGAATACCTTGTGCCATTGAGTCAGGCTCATATGAGATTCCTTTAGTGGTCACTTCACGAGTAGTGGCTCATGCATATTGATCCTTTGGATCAAATAGTATCTTTGCTCAAGAACAATTTTACAGATGTGGCTTGACAGGAACAACATGACTATCGGGGTCCAAATACCACCTCCTTGTCCAGAAATCCATCTCTTCGTAGATGCTTCTCTCCACGGATGTGGTGCTTTACTTCAGGGGCAGGAATTCCAGGATATTTGGACAGACTATGAATCTACCTTGCATATCAACATTTTCAAACTTCTTGCGGTATAATGAGCAATGGTTCAAGGTCTTCCTCTCTTTCATGGCAAAATTGTCATGATCCATTTGGACAACTCCATGGTGGTATCAAATATTTCTTTTTAGGGAGGTACTCATTCTCGATATCTTTGTTTCTGGGCTTTGGATCTTCTTTATGGGGCTCATTCCCATGATATCCATATTTTGGCCTGTCATGTACCAGGGGTTATGAATTTGATAGCAGATCATCTTTTTCGACCCCCATTGGATTCTTCTAACAGAATCAAAGTTACATTAGGAGGTCTTTCAATGGATTTGTTCTCAGTTTGGATCTCCAATGATCGATGCCCTTCCAACCCATTGGAATGCTCGCCTACAGTTGTTCTGGTCTCCAGTTCAACATCCACAAGCTCTGGTGACAGATGCTTTCAGTCAAGAATGGATGGGATTACATTTTTATGCCTTTCCTCCTTTTTGGCCTGCTCAGACATGGTTTCCTCTTCTATGGTTGCTCCAGGAATGTCCATCACTACCTCTTTGCCCATCCTTGTTGAGATAACCATGGTCCAACATTCAACACCCAGACATTTGACACTTCATGCATGGAAGTTATATGTTCCTTTGCCCAACATAGGGATTTAAGTTCTAAAGACATGGTTTCCTCTTCTATGGTTGCTCCAGGAATGTCCATCACTACCTCTTTGCCCATCCTTGTTGAGATAACCTCAGTCCAACATTCAACACCCAGACATTAAACACTTCATGCATGGAAGTTGAACGTTCCTTTGCCCAACATAGGGATTTAAATTCTAAAGTTTCCGTTTATTTGACTAAACTCCACTGTCGACCTACTATGGCAATCTATCAACGGAAATGGACTACATATCATCAGTGGTGTCTTTGGAGAGCTTTCAACCCACTTCATCCAACAGTCTTCATAGTATTACATTTTTGACCTGGATTTTTGAGAGAGCTTTGGCTTCTTCTACCATTGCATTGTATAAAGCATCCTTAACTGCTACCTTCTATATTCTAAGTATAAGAAGGTTTTGACTCTCCTGTGCTATCTCATCTTTTACAATCTTTTCATCTTCTTTGACCCAAACGACCTTTTCAATTGCTTAATTGGGACATTAGAGTTGTTTTACGTGCATTATCACATCGTCCCTTCTAACCTATGGCCTCCTTTTCATTGTATCACCTTTCCTTCAAGGTATATTTTTTATTGTTGTTAGCTTTCGGACAGTGCCATTATGATTTATTTGCTGTCCATGTTCAGTGAACTTTCTATCATTCTACCTATGTTTTGCTCTATCCAGCCAGACCCTTTCTACCAAAAACTCTCTCTGCCAGAGAAAGGAATAAATCATTTTTATCCTATTCATTTACCAGCCATTTCTCATATTTACAGTCGATCAGACCCAGATTGTTTGTTGTGTCCAGTCAGAGCACTTAGATGTTATGTGCCTTGTATGGAACTGTTCAGGCATCCTTGGGACCAGTTTTTTTATTCATTGGGATCTGGCAGTGTCCCTGGATTTATAACCCATTACATTAGCCAGTGGTCTTCAGAAGTTGATTCATATAGCCTATTCAGGGTTATCTGTTGAAGAACAAAATATGCTCCATGTCACTTTTCACTAGATTCAATATCTATCAGTGTCATTAGCTGCACATCTGAACTATTCTCTGGAGGATATTTTTGCAGGCTGGTATGTGGACTTCTCCCAACACTTCTGTCTCATTACTTTCATGATTTGGCAGTTTCCTCTTCCATGGGATTTTGCCTTCCCCCTGTGGCTGTGTTGATTACCTCTGCTAGATTTTAACAAGGAGGTGAGTAACTTTCTTACCTGATTTACGTTTTATCTTTTAGGGCCCTTCTTTATTTCTTTTGGATCCCACTCAGTGGCGAGTGTTGCCCAGTCAGGTCTGCTTGTAATTTTTAATTCCACACTAACAACCTTTATATTGGTTCATGGTTGCAATGGGCTTTGTCGAGATGAGGTGTTCCATAAGACCATTTAGATGTAATTCTGGATGGTAGTATTATCTCACAATACAAATCCAGTGGACTGCTACTCTTGGACTATGATGAGTAAAGCTAAAGGGGATTTTGCCAGTCCATGCTGATCTTCGAGCTGAATCAGCCGAGATTGGTTTGGTTTTAAAACTTAGAGAATGTGGTTCACCTGTTGCACTGTCTCAGGAGACCTGTTCCTTGGGATTCCCCACTGTGCACATCCTAAAAATTTTACAAGTGGAGCTAGGGAGTCCTTACCACACCAAGTTGCTGGGGTGGTGGATAGAGGATTTTCCTTCAGAGTGTTGAGTTTTCTCTACTCTTGGAGATAAGAGTGAAGTTAGGGACCCTCCTACCCATGTCCCTGAAAGTTTTTCCCAGATGTCGGTAGGAGCAGAACCAACCTAAGCAGGATCCTATTCATAAAACTGGTCCAGAGCTTATGCTTAGCTATCTGATGGGGGCATGCTTGGACCCTCTTATGTACACTGTCAGGTCTTAGGTTGTTCATACAGGGGGTCCACTATCTCCTCATAAATCCAAACATAATGCAGTCCCATCTTAGGTTCTTGGTGGAACAGTGTTCCATGTCCTCTCCATAATTCCATGGGTAAGTGGAATTCTCCTTGCCCACTTGGTTGGGGAGTGAAGATGACTGTTCGTCAATCCAGACCGAACGAGTTCTGGACCTTGGGTGGAGTATGGCATATATGACCCCCTCAATCCACGCCTGCAATGTTGCCTTTTGGACATCTTTAGGTTGATCAGAAGAATTGTCCACTTTTGTGTTGCTATCTTTCTTTCATAAATCTGGCAATTGAAAATGCATCAATCTATTTCCTGCAGCAGGTGGGGATCCTATCAAAAAGATATGTATATATTTGCAGTCCGACCACTCTGGCCTCCAATGTGGGATATGGGTACCATGACCCCTTAAATCCAGCCTTGAGTTGTGGAACCTTGGCTTTGTGGTTGGGGCTGGCTCTTCTTACTTATTTGTGTATTAGTCCACCCTTTTCATTTTTCAGTAGTTCTGGATGTAGTGTGGGTTTCCCCATTTGGGTACCACTCCTCATGGTACACCTTTGTTCTGTGCAGGCACTTTCTGTATGAACTATGTTCTCATCGGCCCCTTCACCTTCTCAATGTGGGATTCTAGCTATAAGTGGGAGTGGAGGTATGTATGTTTTTGAAGTTATCATTTTTTTAATCTGAAAATGTATTTCCAAACATACCTCCATTGACACTCTCCCTCCCTTCCTACCCACTAAGAACCAATGTTAGTAACTGGGATGGGGTAAGTCTTGAAAAAGTGATTATATTGTCTTCAAAAATGCTTATATACAATACTTGCATAGAGGGCATGTGAGGGCTGGTGTAAAGTTTTGGAAATTAGATATTGCTGAGGGCAGTCAAGTGAGCAAGCAAACACAATGTTTAGATGGTAAAAAACAATGGAAGATGGAGATTGAGAAATAGCTATAAGTGGCAGCAAAGATAAGTACGTTTGGAAATACCTTTTCAGATTTGGAAAATGATAACTTTCTTTTTCAGTATTAACCTTGAATTTACAAATTACTTATATTCACAGTTTAAACTTCTATTATCTTATTAAAGGTTTCCGGTTTGTTTTTATTTTTCCATATGTAATCTCCACCAGACAATAGAGCCATTACATTATTCCCAGCAAACCATAACACTTTGTTTAAGAAGAATACAAATCGAGAAGCTCTAACTTACATCTCAGTAAAGAAATAATTTTGGAGGGGAATTTACATTGTAATTTAGCAATATCTATTTGTGCCAAACCTGAAAGATCTAGGGATAGAAGGAAATTATCTAAAAAAAGCAATTTAGTGTACAGATGCATCATGTGATACAGAGTAGTGAAACTTAGATATTAAATATTTCCTTTTCAGATTAGGAAATTGAAACATTAAAATCTGAAATATATATGCTGTTTTCATTCTATGTTAACTGATATACATTTGTAACATAGTTGTAAAAAAAGTCACAAGATGTGCACTTTGCACATGATTAGAATAATAACACATTCAGTAAATAAATCTATAATCATATAATAAAACTGGCCTACAAAGTACAAATCTGTAAATTAGCTTACTGGTATGAAACTTAGTTGAATGGACAGCAACTACCTGTTGTAGAAACACAAGTGTAGAGGACAACATTTCTAAAATCTTTCATCTTCAGGGGGAAGACTTACGAAACGTCCTCTACACTTGCATTTATACAACAGGTATTTGCCATCCATTCAACTAAGTTTCATCATGAATACTCTTCCTAAACAATCAATCAAAGAATAGCTTACTAGTATTTTGTGAAATACAATATTTCAATTACCATATATTTTACAACTTGCCATTAATGCTTACATTTCATTTATCTTTATTAAAACAATATAACAATAAATATAGAATATACATAAAAACCATGGATTTTAGTACTTATGAGGTTACAAAATTGTACTTGGGGAAATGGCAGGTGTAGACCTCATTGATTCTCACAAACTAAACCGAATACAAATGAATTTTGTAAATTTTAAATATGCATTTTAGAAAAAAAGTTATTCACTAGAATATGACATCACAAAACCACTGTAATTTTCCTGACTTTCAAATTAAAGTATAACTAAGTAAAAAAAAAATACTCTTTGGAGCAGTGACTGTAGTAAACATACTTTGACATTTCTTTGTGAACCTTGGGCTTTCCTCGCCATAAATTCACAAACAAACATCAAATTTACAGTGCAATTTTGAACCTCATATGTACTAGAATTCATGGTTTTTATGTATATTCTTTATTTATTGTTATATGTTTTATTAAATGTAAATAAAATGTAAGCATTAATGGCAAGTAGTAATAATATATATGTGTGTGTGTGTGTAATATATGGTAATCGAAATGTCATTGTATTTGAGAAATATATGCTAATTTACAGACTTGTTCTCTGTAGACCAATTTTACTATATGATTATAGATTTGT